GAATTTCCAATAACGCCTACTCGCTCACTCATACAGCGACGAAAAGAGATAGACGATAACAACAAAGCAAAATCTAATAAAAAAATTTATTGATCAACAAAACAAGTATTCTATACCACTAATTTTTATTTTGTATCAAGAAAGTTTAATACAAAAACGATTTCTTAACAAATGTTTATTAGACGGAAGCAAATGCAACATATTAAATATCAACAAGAACATTAATTTTGCGCAATTGCTGTGACAGATTTATTGTATCAAAGAGTTGAATCAATTATATTTGTTTAAATAGATACGCACTTGGTGAAATTAATTGTTTCTGGAGGCTTAATGGTATTAAACTCATATTAATGATATTTAATAAACATTATATTTGTTTTAAGCCAATATTTTGCTTTAGGACTTACGAATATTTTGACAGTTTGTAAATCAAAATGGCGGTCAGAGATCAATAATATATTTATTAACACTTTTTGAATATTATATTGAGCAAGTATTTATTATTATTATATAATAATATATTACTTCAATTTTAAGCCAATTTTTCGCACAAAAACTGGCATGAATATTTTGACAGTTTTTAAATCAAAATGGCGTTCAATATATATTTATTAACACTTTTTAAATATTATAATGAGCAGGTATTTATTTGTTATTATTTATTCAGGAAATAATAATATATTATTTCTATTTTAAGTTAATTTTTGGCTTCAAAATTAAAAAGAATATTTTTGACAGTTTGTATTCAAAATGGCGTTCGATACACAATAATACATATATTTATCAATTCAAAACGAATAATTGACTTAAAATAATCTAATATTTGATAAAGACTGAATAATAATACCAAATAATGCTCGATTAATTTAATATTTGAATTGATAAATATATGTATTATTGTGTTACCTGAACTGACAAACGCCATTTTGAACTGACAAAAATATTTTGACGTTTGAGTGATTCAAAATGGCGTTCGATAGTTCAAAACACAATAAAATAAATATCAATTTTATTCAAAGATTAAATTAACTAAGCAATTATTTATTAGTATTTTTAATTGTTCATCAAATATTAGATCTATTTCAAATCAATTTTTTGACAAGAATATTTTGACAGTATGTTATTCAAAATGGCGTTTGACAGTTGAGAACACAATAACATATTTATTATTTAAATATCAAATTTAGCAATTAAAATGCTTAAATGCAATTTTTTAAAATTTGTAGGTCACTATATATATATGTAAATCATATTCATAGATGTAAGTGACACTTAGCCTTTGTTTATATATTGTAGCTCTTGTAGTTTATTCAATTTTTAATGTCTTTTATAAATTTTCTATAAAACTATCAAATCGAATTTTTTGGCAAAAATACACTCATTCGTAAAGTTATTAATGGATTTAAAAACCAGCTTTCATATATAGATTTATGAATTAAAAAAAAGTTATTGACGTCATTATGCAAGAACATATGTTTTCTTTATATATATATATATATATATACATAGATAAGTAAATATAATTGTATATATACATATATTTTAAAATAGATTAGAGCGCCCTAGGAGGCACTTTTTATAAAAGTGCATCATAAACATACAGATGCATCATGCACTTCATATATTTATAATTAGTGTGTTAACACGTTTTATATGTATAATTTGATTTTGTTTATAATTGAGAGTAATAATATTTTTTTTGTTTCAGGTATGTACCATCAATTTGTTAATTAGAATTATTTATAAGGTAAGATAGCTGATAAGTTATAGAAATTATATGGTTTAACAATAAATATTAAAATCACGAGATAATAACAAATTATATAAAAAATAGTTACAGAATTTTTTATTAAGTCGACTTTAAAGAGCTATTCAGGTCAAACTATGCGTAATTTGCACATATATAATATACACACACCTTTTATAACAACAAATACTAAAATCGATAAAATTACTAAAACAACTTGCGATAAAAATAATTATTTAAACAGACCACACCGTTACAACAATCTTAAAAAAAATTAAATTCGCGCTGTACAATAATAATTTGTCATAAACATTTTTAATCTTTATTACTCCATTATCTAACACAAAACATTATTCATATGATAAACTCAATAATTTATTATTTTTGCACTTTCAAGATATTATTAGAATAATATTTTCTTCCCGACTTCATACCGTATCAATTAATAATTTTTCTATAAATTATTTATAAATTCCTTATAATAATTGTTTATAAGAATTTAGCGATATCTCTGCATGACTCACGGCTTTCTAGTTTGTTTATTTAAAACATTTTTCTTTTAATTAAAACTCAAATCGATCGATATAATTGATAGAAAACGATAGGAATTAAAGAATTTAAATTATTTATATGGAGTTATAATTATTTTCAATAATATATATTCTAGATTGTTGGAAATGATATTTTTATTGATCTTCAGATTATATGGTTAAAAACATAAATAATAAAATAGCAAAAATATGTAAAAAAGTAAAATGATATTATATCTTATGTGTAAATTTTTGCACCAAACTTTTTGTACTTAACTTTCTAGTTATCTATCTTTATCTTTTTGTATCTATCTGTTTTTCATCTATTTACCTTATATGATTTATTTTAATGAGCTCTTCAGATTGTCGATATCATTATTATAAACGCAAATACCAAAATTGAAAAAATGTACAAAATTAGATTTTAATTTATATTAAAATTTTGCACCATTTCTTTCACTACAATACTGAAATTTTTAAATTTCTAAATCTATCTTTTATAAAAGATATATACAAATAAAGATATAAACAAATATTTGAATAAAGTAGATCAGATATATTCATACTACAATAATAGTTTTTAAGGAGCTCTTCAGGATGCACGGTTTGTACTAAAGCGCTGTAAATAATTAAAGTAATTCTGCAG